CACAAACTTGAGAATTTAAAAAAATGTTATGGTTTAATATAGTGTTTGTTTTTTTTGTGTACAGCAATTGACATTCTTAACGTTTTAGGTATATTCATTTCATCATTTGTTGTTCTTATTTGAAGTGATAATTTTCCCCAAATGGGTATTCAAAAATCAGAAAAACATGCATGTAACCAACAATAAACTGTCAATTTCTATAATAAGATGTATATTTTCCTCAATTTTTTGCCAGTTTTTGTCCTGTGCAGAAGCCAGAAGACTTCAGGGCAGGCGTCAGGATAACAAAAGGGGCTTTACTGAATAACACAACAAATAATACAACTAATATTACAACTAAATACTACGGTAGAAACACAAGGCCAGGTAACACAAGGACAGGATCATGAACACAGCACAAGACAGCAAAGAGGACACCCAACAAGACACATGGCATGACCAGGGGCATGGAACAGACCAAGACAGCAAAGAGGACACCCAACAAGACACACAACAGGACAGGTCAAACAAGTAGAGAGGCAACAGGGACAGGGGTGGAAAGATAAGAGGGAGTCACAGGGAACACAGAGTAAAACGAGGGCAGGACAGGTCAATGGGGCAGGGGCTGGGGCGTGATGAGCGGAAACAAAGGACGTCCGGGGAGTTCTCTAGGAGCTGGGCAGCGACCCTGGGACACAGACCCCCCTGGGCCTGTTCACCGGCAAGGTGGAGCCGGTCCGGACTGCAGGACCTGAGGGCCTCAGAGGGTGCTGAGGGGCCAGCAAGGCTGGAGCAGGAGGGCACCATGGGTTCTTCCTTCTGGGCCTCAGCAAGAGGTTTGCTTGGGGAGGGGGGCAGCATCAGACATCAGGCGAATGGAAATCTGGGAGGCCAGCACAGATAGTACACCACCGGCTCCCTCCCCAGGAGACGTAGACCCGGCCAGCCTCTTACAGCGCTGGGCTTTTTCCACCTCCTGGGGATCCGTGCCTGAAGTAAGTCCCGTCAGTATGTCCCCCGCCCACATGAAGAGTGCTCTGGCTTTGGGCACCTTCCACATGGCGGGATTTAGCCTCCAGTGCAGGTGGGTTTCCAGGAGGAAGAAGTCATCTTCAGCTTGCAAGTGGGGTGGCTCCAGAAGGATTAGCATGGGCTGTGCAACAGGAGTCCCTGGCAGCCTCTGTTTGGGCGTGACTTCCACAGGTCCCCTTCCCCAGCGCTGTAACCAATACGGGGTTGGCAACGGTGAGGCAATCCGGACAGCGGGCGGCTCAGCGAGTTCATCAGGGTCCTCCAGGTCACTGTCACTCAGCAGGTCCAACAGTGGATTGTCCACAAGCCACTGAGGTGAGCAGAAAAGAGACTCAAGCTTAGAAAGGAGGCTAACTGCAGGGGAAATAGTGCAAGCAGAGATACGGAGTGTTAGGGGCTCCTGGGGATAGCCGCTAGGCACTTTGGGGAGTCTGGTCATTCTGTCACATGCGGAAGCCAAAGGACTTGAGGGCAGGCATCAGGAAAACATAATGGGCTTTACTGAATAATACAACAGCAGGGAAACGAAACAGGACCACATGGGGTCAAAATGAGAAGGCAACAGGAGGACTGAGCCACTCTACCATCCCACGTTATATAATAAGCATATCAACAGTAGTAGTTCCTATCCATCCATCCATC